TTTCTGAACATTATGTTATGAAGTAATTAGTTTTTTGAAATGCTATGCTATGTTTGAAATGAATGAATGATTGTCCAAGATTTTGAAATGTATTCGTGGCACTCTTAGCATCATATGAAATGCGTCCCTTTATGGGTCATCAAGTCTCTTATGGATCATCTGGTCCCTTTATGGGTCATCAGAATGCCTTTATGGCCGTCCCTTTATGGGTCATCAAAAACGCCTCTGTGCACACGAGTCATCAGAAAGCCTTCATAGCAGTCCCTTGTGGGTCATCGGATTTATTAATGCTAATGGATGTGCCACGTACTATGATATGATATATGTACAAGCTTTGAACACAAATGTAACTATGCCCATGAATCTGCTCTATTATAACATCCGATTATGTACAAAACTTTATTTCTGTATGGACATCATTTAGTAAAATCTTTACTCTATTATTATTCACTGGGTTTTCGCTTACTATTTGTATTATGTATGTAGGTGAGCAGGTACGTGACTAGGACCAGAGTTGATGGCCTATGTTACAGCTTTTGTCAGCCAACCTTTGTGCCTCCCGAGGAGGTTCCAGATGAAGTCAAGCTTAGTGGCTATTTTTGTATTTGTACTAGACTATGCCTATTTTGTTTGTACTTGGGCAAGATTTTGATAACATATTCATGGAGTGATATGTAATTATTATATCTTTTGATGTCACTCGTAGGTATATAAAAGTTTAAAGTTATCCGTCCCATGTATTTCTCCACAGCTCATTGGACTGTATATGTTTCTATATTTGCTTCCGCAGCCCCTACTTATAGGTTATTCAGTAAGAGGCCTTTGGTAATCCAAGGATTACTGGCCGGTTGCGTCGCTGAACCTATAGGGGCGGATTTGGGTCGTGACATTCCCTAACAACTGGTATCAGAGCTTATAGTTTATTTGGGTTTATTTATTTTTGTAAATCAATTGAGGGGAATGTGGGTCGTATGTCTAGCTTTAATGGAAGCAATTGGTTAACGTGGAAAACTAAAATGGAGGACCTATTATTTTGTAAAAATTTGTATGGACCTATTGAGGGTGATAGTGGCAAACCCGAGGGTATGAAAGATGATGAATGAAAGAGGCTTAATCGAAAAACCGTTGGTGTTATCCGTTAATAGATTAATGACAATGTGTTTCATCATACTGCTACTGAAATTTCGACACATGATTTACGGAAAAAAAAAAATTAGAAGGTCTTTATGATAGAAAATCAGCCACAAATAAAGCCTTTCTGTTTTGAAAGTTGGTTAATTTAAAATATAAAGATGGCAGCCCTATTCCGGAACATTTAAATGAAATAAAGAGTATTGTTAACCAACTTGCTTCTATGAAAATTATTTTTGATAACAAGTTACAGGCTTTGATGCTACTTAGTTCATTGCCTGAAAGTTAGGAGACTTTGGTTGTGACAGTTAGTAATTCAGCACCCGATGGAATTGTTACAATGAGCCAAGTCACTAATAACTCGTTGAATGAAGAAACTAGAAGAAAATCAGCGAGTTCGTCTTATTCGGAGGCATTTGTTGTGAGAGGCCAAAGCAAAACAAGGGGAAGGAGTAAGACTCCTCATGGCCGTGATCAAAGTCATGATATGGTTCTTTTTCAAAGAAAGACATTGAGTGCTATTATTGCCATGAGAAAGGGCACATGAAGCGGGAATGTCGAAAGCTCAAGAACAAGGGGAAAAGGCATGATAAAAGTGTGGATAAGAAGCAAGAAGACACAACGACAATTACTACCGATGACCTAATGGTTGTTTGTGAAGATGATTGAATCAATTTTGTAGGCCAAGAGAGCAATTGGGTGATTGATTCCGGTGCTTCTTTTCATGTGACTTCTCGAGTTGATTTCTTCACTATCTACATCAAAGGAGATTATGGTTGTGTTCGAATGGGTAATGAAGATTTGTCCAAGATTGTCGGCATGGGTAATATTTGCTTGGAAATAAATTTGGGCTGCAAGTTTTTGCTTAAAGATGTGAGGCATGTTCCAGACATTCGCCTCAATTTGATCTCTACCTGGAAGCTAGATGATGAAGGCTACTACAATAAATTTGGTAATGGAATATGAAAGCTCACAAAGGGTTTTGGTATTGGCTAAGTGCAAGAAGACTCATATACTTTATTTGATGCCAGGAAAAATTTGTAAAGGTGCTGTCAATGCACTTAAAGATGATACTTCTACCGAATTGTGGCACAAGCGGCTTGGGCACATGAGCGAAAAGGGGCTGCAAGTTTTGTTCAAGAAAGAGCTTCTACCTGGTTTAAAAGGTACATATCTTAAAACTTGTGTTCATTGTTTGGCTGGTAAACAACGTAGAGTTTCTTTTCATAAAAATGTTGCTTCTAGAAAAGAAAATGTTTTAGAGTTGATTCATTCGGATGTTTGTGGTCCTTTGAAAGTTAGAACACATAGTGGTGCACTTTATTTTGTTACTTTCATTGATAATTATTCAATGAAAGTTTGGTCTTTTGCATTAAAAACTAAAGATCAAGTTCTAGATATATTTAAGCATTTTTAGGCAATGGTTGGAAGAGAAACAAGGCAGAAATTGAAGTGTATCCAAACAGACAAAAGTGATGAATACATTGGGCTATTTGATGAGTATTGTCGCTGTAACGCCCTCAAAATTAACCCATTATATATCATTGACATGCATTATATAAAGAAGACAATTTATTAATTCATTCATCAGATTACTACTAAATAAAGCATTACATGTAACATCGAATAAAATGCCCTACAGGCTTACATCTTTCCAAGCCAACACTTGGATTCAAAAATATGAGTTCTAATCTCAATACAAGAAAAGCCCTAGGCTTGAATGTTTACATGTACTGACAAATAAAAACTATTAACTAAAGGTAGTCTTCTTCAATCCAGAAGCCAAACCCTCCCAAGCTAAGTCCTTGGAGGTAATTTATCACCTGAACCTGAAAATGATGTTCCCATAAAGGGTGAGCCACAGCCCAGTAGAAATATACTAAACCACATATAAGCAATGAATAAAGCAATAGCATTCAACAGATGGTTAACCAAGATAATCAATTACTTCATTATACAGTCTCATGACACTATTGCCAAAGATACGCTTTACTTTCCCATTTTATCAACACGGCTCAGAACCTGGCCAAACTTACAACAATGAATCACATATGTCACATTCACATCCTTCCAATATCAACAAACAAATGAGACTCAAGCTCAAATCAAACACTTCATACTTCCAGATTGATACACATTTTAGTGCTGTATCAATAAAACACTTCTATATAAATAAGCACACTTAAAAGTGATGCTAATGGAGTCCATCCCCTATCTCCTCCCAAACAAAATCCGGTTTAGAGGTCCATCCCCTATCTTCCCCTAAACCGTGGAGTACATCCCCTATCTCCTCCCACACACAAAACAATGTATGCAAATGCAATGCTCAATCAATACACGTATTTTCTGCATCAATGCCATAGTCAAAATTAATGACTTAACCAATGTGATTAGTTTCAGTTATTCCTAATCCACATGCAATGTCTACAACAATCACGACTATCCTCCACCGATAGCCCAAAACAGTTATTTCTAGACTGCAAATAACTATGTCAACAATTCAACAGACAAATGATTCCAATTACCCAATTACGCTATTTAATCAATGAATTTCCCAATTCCATGAATTTAACCATCTTTTTCCAATTTCCATGAATTACTTATACAAATTAATTCAATAATACAACAAGGGTTTTTTTCCCAAAATTTACCAAGTATTCCCAACATATCAAATTACCAAAGCTTAGAACAAAACCTATAAAATGGAGTAGGAAATCCCTACCTCGAAGAAAACAACACAAATGGTGAAGACAAAGATGAGTGCCCAACTACCAAAGTGTTCCAAATCGCCAAATGTTCAGATTAAATGGAAGCCCTCGACTCCCTCTATCTTTTTAATGAAGGATCTAGGGTAGAAACACACCCTAAGTGGATCAAATCTAAGAAAGAAGGTGTGTAGAGGGAGAGGGAACTCGTAACTAGGGTTTTGGAATATGAAAGTGTATGAAAAATAGATCTAAAACACGCTGCTGCCTATTTAAACCTGACAGGCTCGCTCGAGCGGCCAGACACAGAAAACTACGCTCGAGCCAAGGAAGCCTTGCTCGAGCCAACAACCCAAAAGCTCGCTCGAGCGAAAGAAAGCTCGATCGAGCGAAGAACTCAAACCCTCAGGTCTGCAACCAGAAGCACGCTCGAGCGACAGACTTTTCGCTCGAGCGAAGAACAAACCAGACCGCTCGAGCGAAGAAAGCTCGCTCGAGCCAAGAAATGCAAC